AAATGTCTCTTGTGCAGAGAATTCTCTCTTGGTTCCCGGGTCCAGGTCATAAAGTGTGTGATATAAATTCTCATGGATCCCTGGACTCATCTTCCATAGCACCATCAAAGTTCATAATTGTGTACATATTTGTAATGTTATTTTATTAATGTTTAGCTCTACCACTAGACTGTAAGCACCACGGGGCATGGTTTGTAGTATTCCCTGTTCTAGTCTAAGTGCCTTGTCCAGTGCTTGACAAACAGAAAAGGGATGTGGTGGGTTTAAAACATGTCTGCAGGGCTGGGCCCAGTGGCTCATGCCTGTAATCCCAGCACTTTGGGTGGCCAAGGTGGGTGAATCACCTGAGGTCAGGAGTTTGAGACCAGCTTGGCCAACATGGTGAAACCCTGTCTCTACTAAAAATACAAAAAAGGTAGCTGGGCATGATGGTGCATGCCTGTAATCCCAGCTACTCAGGAGGCTGAGGCCGAAGAATCACTTGAACCTGGGAGGCGGAGGTTGAAGTGAGCCAAGATCGTGCCACTTCACTCCAGCCTGGGCAACGGAGTGAGACCCCGTCTCAAAAACAAAACAAAACAAAACAAAACCAAAAAAAAAAAAAACAACCATGTCTGCATTTTTTTTTTTTTTTTTTAAAGACAGGGTCTCACTCTGTCGCCCAGGCTGGAGTACAGTGACACCATCATGAATCAAAGGTAAGTTGAGCAATGAAATGGCTCACTGCCCCCTCAACTCCAGGCTCAGGTGATCCTCCCACCTCAGCCTCCCAAGTAGCTGGGTCTACAGGCACATACCACCATGCCCAGCTAGTTTTTGTGTGTGTGTGTGTGTGTGTATGTATATATATATATATATTTTTTTTTTTTTTTGTAGAGAGAGGATTTCATCATGTTGCCTGGGCTGGTGTTGAACTCCTGGGCTCAAACAAACCTCCCACCTCATCCTCCCAAAGTGCTGGGATTACAGGTATGAGTCACCATGCCTGACCAGCAAATTTTTTGACATCCTTTCCATCAAGAGGTAGAATCTAACTGACTTTCCTTTAAATACGGGCTGGTCTAATGACTTGTATCTAATTAACAGAATGTGGCAGAAATGCTGTGTGACATCCGTGGCTAGGTTCTAAGAGGTAATATGGCTTCCTTCTGGCTCACCCTCTTTTTAAATTTTAATTTAATTTAATTTTTTGGGGGGGATGGAGTCTCATTCTGTCGCCCAGGTTGGAGTGCAGTGGCTCGATCTCCGCTCACTGAAAGCTCCGCCTCTCAGGTTCACACTGTTCTCCTGCCTCGGTCTCCTGAGTAGCTGGGATTACAGGCGCCCACCACCATTTTTTTTTTTTTTTTTTTTTTTTGTATTTTTAGTAGAGATGGGGTTTCACCGTGTTAGCCAGGATGGTCTCGATCTCCTGACCTCATGATCTGCCCACCTGGGCCTCCCAAAGTGCTGGGATTACAGGCGTGAGCCACTGCACCTGGCCCCTTTTTAAGTTTTTTTAAACTCTTTTTGGATGCTCCCTTTCAGAACCCACCTGCCATGCTATGAGGACACCCAGGCCACATACATAGAGTAAGGCCACATGTAGGTGTTGCAGCCAAAAGCCCCACTGAAAACCAAACCTGCAACCAGCATCAACTGCCAAACATGTACTGAAGAGGCTGAGAAGATTCCAGCACTTGTGGCTGACTGCAACTACAAGAGAGACCCGGAGCAAAAGCCACCTAGCTGGGCCCAGTTACTCCCAGAATCATGAGAGAAATATGTAATTGATCGTTATTACTCTATAAGCCACTAAGTTTACATATGATGTGTTATGCAGCAGTAGATAGCTGGAACAGGAGCCAATAAACACTGAATGAACAAATGTGGATAGGTCTGGTTGAAGGAACATTGCATGCGTTTTAGCTTTGTGAAAGGTTTAATTGACAACTCTCAGCTTCTCCCCCAAGAAGTCTTGGAGATTCTGGAAGGCCCAATTCAGAAACTCAGGCTCACCCAAGGAGAGACTCCCAGAAACTCTCAACTCAGGACAGGAAACATGGCGAGGCTGTCAGAAGTTAGCTCTGAGCCTGATGCAGTGGTTCACACCTACCGGTAATCAGTGCTTTGGAGGCAGATGTGGGAGGATCTCTTGAGGCCAGTTGTTCAAGACCAACCTGGGCAACATTTTTATTCTTGGGCCCATGGATAGTTTCAGGGAGTAAAAACATACAACATTTTGTCTGTGTATATGTGCTTTTTCCCGAGGAGACGTTACCCAAGCTCTGTTATCAGATTCTCGAGTCTGTGTCCAAAAAATGTTAAGAACTGCTGATCTAGTCCAACTATCTCAATATCTATGTTAAGATACTAAGATATTTTATGTACTAAAGTGGACTAAGTACCCTGAATAAACTTCTGAAAACAATTATGGATAATATAAAAATGTATTTATTTTTTGATGCACTGATGAGCTGGCAAGAAAGTAAGGAATACTCAGGCCAAACAAGTCACGAATTCAAAGGCAAGTTGAGCAATGAAACTGACTTTTGCCTTTTGGACATTTTTATTTTATTTTTATTTTTTATCATCTAACCTAGTCACAATTTTAATTTTTTTTTAATTTTTGTGATATAGTCTTGCTCTGTCACCCAGGCTGGAGTGCAGTGGTACAGTCTCGGCTCACTGCAACCTCCACCTCCCAGGCTCAAGCGATTCTCGTGCCTCAGCCACCTGAGTAACTGGGACTATGGGCACGTGCCACCATGTCCCACTCATTTTTGTATTTTTTGTAGAGATGGAGTTTTGCCATGTTGGCCACGTTGGTCTCGAACTGGCCTCAAGTGATCTGCCTGCCCTGGCCTCCCAAAGTACTGGGATTACAGGCATGAGCCACCGTGCCCAGCTCCTCTTAACAAGTTTTTACGTGTACAGTTCAGTATTAACTATATGCACAATACTGTACAGCAGATCTCTAGAACTTATTCATCTTGCATGACTGAAACTTTATCATTTTAATTTTTGTAAATTTTAAACTTAAAAAATTTTTTTTGTTTGAGACAAGGTTTTGCTCTGTTGCCCAGGCTGGAGTGCAGTGGCACCACCATGCCCAACTGTTTTTTTGTTTTTGTTTTTGCTTTTGTAGAGACAAAAAAACCCCAGATAGGTAGCTCTTGCTCCGGGTCTCTCTTGTGGTTGCAGTCATCCACAAGTGCTGGAATCATCTCAACCTCTTCAGTACATGTTTGGCAGTTGATGCTGGTTGCAGGCTTGGTTTTCAGTGGGCTTTTGGCTGCAACACCTACATGTGGCCTTACTCTCTCTATGTGGCCTGGGTGTCCTCACAGCATGGCAGGTGGGTTTCCCCATCTTACTATGTTGGCTAGGCTGGTCTTGAACTTCTGGTTCTCATGTGATCTTCCCTCCTCAGCCTTCCAAAGTGCTGTAGTTACAGGTGTGACCCATTGCACCCAGCCCATTATTTATTTATTTATTTATTTATCTGTTTGTGTTTTCTTTTTGTGGAGAATGGGGTCTTGCTATGTTGTCTAGGCAGTTCTCTAACTCTTGGGCTCAAGCTAACCTTCTGCCTCTGCCTCCCTAAGTGTAGGGATTATAGGTGTGAGCCACTGAACCTGGTCCGGTGAGTAACTTCTAACTCAGTAAACTTGAACTTGAATTTTCATGGTCTCATGGGAGTGAGTGATTGGAGAGAACCAGTGGTGTGACAGTAACTGGCTCTACAACAAAACAAAGCACTGTTTCGTGTACGGTTCAGTATTAACTATAAGCACAATATTGTACACATATTTTTTAGTGTTTTAGTTTTTGTTGATTTCCGTTAAGTAAATGTTCCCACCGTAGATTTCAAGCCATTAGTGGTACGAAGAACAGGCACGAAAAATACTTGGTTCTTGTGAGCTGATAGGAGCAAACTCCAACACATGCTACTGAGAGAAACTCAGGGCTCCTCTAAGGTGGGAAGTCTAAAAAACCTAAAATTGGGACTCCAGTGAATGTGTGAGCTACATATAAACACCATTACCTGCTAACAGACTGAAAAGAAAAATGCCTATCTCAGTTTCCCTATTCTTCAGAGAAAAATGTCACTCCCAAAGTGCTGGGATTACCAGTGTTGAGCCACTATGCCCATCCGCCTTGCCCTCTTTTGCTATGTACTTTAGGAGGTAGGTGATGGTGTAGTCTAAACTGGCACAGCAGCTGGAGGATACAAATGTAGGTACAAACAATAAGTAAGAATTCATTGGCACTAAAATTTGTTTAAGAGAATTCTAAAATCAGTGAAAAGATATCTTAAGAGTAAGAAAAAATAATGACATGATACAAACAAAAACTGTATTCGCCCACCAGCAGACAGAAATAAAAAGTGATCCTAGATGGAAAAAATGAGAGACAAGAAGGAACATAGAACAAAGTGGTACATGCGTGGGTAAGTCTAAACAAATGTTATATTAACATTAATAACAATGTTTATGGGCTTAAAAACACAGACCAGGTGTGGTGGCTCACGCCTGTAATCCCAGCACTTTGGGAGGCTGAGATGGGCAAATCACTTGAGGTTAGGAGTTTGAGACCAGCCTGGCCAACATGGTGAAATTCCGTCTCTAATAAAAATACAAGTATTAGCTGGGAGTGGTGGTGGGCCTGTAGTCCCAGCTACTTGGGAGGGCGAGGCACAAGAATCACTTGAACCCAGGAGGCAGAGGTTGCAGTGAGCCAAGATCATGCCAATGCACTTTAGCCTGGGTGACTCAGTGAAACGCTGTCTCAAAAAAAAAAAAAAAAGTAATTCTCCTGCCTCAGCATCCTGAGTAGCTGGGATTATAGGCACATGCCACCATGCCCGGCTAATTTTGTGTATTTTTAGTAGAGATTGGATTTTGCCACGTTGGCCAGGCTGGTCTAGAACTCCTGACCTCAGGTGATCCGTTTGCCTCGGCCTCCCAAAGTGCTGTAATTATAGGTGTGAGCCACTGTGCCTGGCCTGTTTTTCTTATTAAAATATGGAATGTTTCACAAATTTGTATGTCATGCTTGTGCAGAGGCCATGCTAATCTCTGTGTCATTCCAGTTTTAGTGTCTGTACTGCCGAAGTGAGCACTGCCATTCGTTTTTTGAAACTCAAATGATTATACCTCTTCCAGGAAGCCTTCTCTGAGAGCCGCCCTCAGAACGATGCCCCAGAGGGGGTCCAAAACAGGTACTCCACACTAACCCATGCTTGTTATTGTCCCTACATTTACCTTAGTGTTCTATAGTGACCATTCCATCTCCCCAGTGATGGGGTAAGTTCCTCAAAGGTACTTTGTTCTTTTTGTTTTTTGTTTTTTGGTTTTTTTTGAAACGGAGTTTTGCTCTTGTTGCCCAGGCTGGAGTGCAATGCCACAATCTTGGCTCACCGCAACCTCTGCCTCCCAGGTTCAAGTGATTCTCCTACCTCAGCCTCCGAGTAGCTGGGATTACAGGCATGTGCCACCATGCTTGGCTAATTTTGTATTTTTAGTAGAGACGGGATTTATCCATGTTGGTCAGGTTGGTCTTGAACTCCCGACCTCAGGTGATCCTCCCACCTTGGCCTCCCAAAGTACTGGGATTACAGGCGTGAGCTACCACGCCCAGCCTACTTCGTTCTTTTCTGTACCCCCAGAACCTAGCTCAGGGCCTGGCACATAGCAGAAGCTAAAAATATTTGTTTACTAACACAAAGAAGATGAGGGAGAAAGCAAAACAAAACAAATTCGTAGGGGGCTGGGCACAGCAGCTCCGGCTTGTAATCCCAGCATTTTGGGAGGCTGAGACAGGGGGATTGCTTGAGCCCAGGAGTTTGAGACCAGCTTAGGTGAAGTAGCAAGACCCTGTCTCTACAAAAAATAAAAAATAAAAAATTAGCTAGGCATGGTGGTGTGCTTGTGGTCCCAGCTACTCTGGAGGCTAAGGTGGGAGGACTGCTTGGGCCTAGGAGGTTGAGGCTGCAGTGAACCATGATCACACCACTGCACTCCAGGCTGGATGACAGAGCCAGATCCTTTCTCAAAAACAAAACAAAAAAAATTTTTTTAACTGTAGGATGAATGAGTGAATGCAGCTTACATGTGGTAGAGGCAGGTTGAATCCGCATTTGGCTGCAAAGCCTGAGTGTTACCTGGGACTGGGGGCAGACTTGATGAGACTGAAGTTGTTTTCAGGCTCAGTAGTTCCCTGTTCCTGGCCTTGCTGAGGCTGTAGGTGCTTCTATAGAGGCCACAGCCCAGCCCAGGGGACCTGAGTTCCCCTGTGCCCATAGTTTTCAATGTACCCTCCTTTCAGTATGCCCTCTGAGCCTGGGTGGCACCGGGACTACCCCAAGGTGGTGGGTTGTGCGAGCCTTGTCTCCTGGACTCCCCCTCATTTGGGGCTCGGTCTGGTGGCACTGCTGACCTTCCCCTCCTTCCTGCCTTCTGTGCGGTGCCCTGCACCATGCTCCCCATCACTCCTTCCCTCTCCTTTCCACCTCTGGCCAGGAGCCTGGGACACAGGGCTGTGAGAAACCCTTTGAAAATAGTGTCTCCAGAAAGCTCCTGTTTCTCAACCATAGTTTTCCTGAGGAAGACAGCCATTTCCTCTGGGGCTGAAGTCTCCCACGGGAGTCTCTAGCCCCCATGTCTGTTAAATAACCTTATTGAAGAACCTTGGGCCTGGGACACCGAGAGTTCTGGCCCTCTCCTGGGGGCCTGGCCTTTGGGTGAAGCTCCCCGAGACAGGGGCTGTGCCTCCCGTGGACAGAGGCTGTTCTTTCCTCTGTGTAAGAGCATGATAACTCTGGGATATGGCACCGGGGCAGGTGGACACACTGGTCATGGTGAGAGACTGAGCATCTTCAGCCAGTGGGGCTCTCTGCTACCTTTTCCGAAGGCGCCTGGCTCTCAGCTGTTTTCCTCCCTCTGGGCTGTGGAACTGTCTGCAGTTCCTCTCTCTTCAAGAGGAGGAAAGGAGATGTTGACTCTCTCCACGAGGCACCCAAACACCCTCTCCTCCCCCAGCACAGACAACTGGTTCTCTCCACTTTGAGAGATTCTTTGGTTTTTGTTTTTTGAGACGGAGTCTCACTTTGTAGCCCAAGCAATTCTCCTGCCTCAGCCTCCCAAGTAGCTGGGAATACAGGTGCCCACTACCATGCCTGGCTAATTTTTTGTATTTTAGTAGAGACGGGGTTTCACCATGTTGGCCAGGCTGGTCTCGAACTCCTGACCTTAGGTGATCCACCTGCCTCGGTCTCCCAAAATGCAGGGATTATAGGCATGAGCCATGGCTCCCAGCCCACATTTAATTCTTTAGTGACTGCTGCCCTTTACCTCCAAGTGCAGTGAAGGAGATAAAAAAGAGAACAGAGTGACCTTGACCCCACAACCCACTCTCCAGGATCTGGGGAGAGTGGCTGTGGAGAGCAGGCTGTTGGTCAGCTGCAAGCCCGGATGCTCTTTGGAGAGGACCTAGCCTGCCCAGCAGAAGGGGTTGGCAGGGTAGGTGTGTCGGGTCCTGGCCTGGTGGCTCTGAGACACCTGCTTGTGTGCTGGTGGGAATCCTGAAGTCACAGAATTCACCTGGAGGACCCCTCACTTCCCTTCAAAGTGCTTTCCCTCCACCACATTTCAGTGGGATTTCGGGCATCCCTGGGGTCATATTTTTGGGAAAATGAGTGGTGTGACACCCTTGATCGTCAAAGCAGCAGCTGGCACCTGTACAGGTCACTTTAGAAAGTGCTTTCCCAGGCTGGGCACAGTAGCTCATGCCTGTAATCCCAGCTCTTTGGGAGGCCGAGGCAGGCACATCACCTGAGGTCAGGAGTTCACGAGACCAGCCTGGCCAACATGGTGAAACCCCCGTCTGTACTAAAAATACAAAAATTAGCTGGGCGTGGTGGTGCATGCCTGTAATCCCAGCTACTTGGGAGGCTGAGGCAGGAGAATCGCTTGAACCTAGGAGGTGGGAGTTGTAGGGAGCCAAGACTCTGCCACTGCACTCCAGTCTGGGCAACAGAGAGAGACTCCAAAAAAAAAAAGAAAAGAAAGTTCTTTCCCATCGAAGCACTAGTTGTCAACTGTGACTGTGAGTGAGAATCACCTGGAGGGTTTTTTGAAATATACCAACATCCAAGCCCTATCCCAGAGCAATTAAATCAGAATCTCTGAGCGGGGCATGGGTGTGTTTTAAAGCTCCTCAGATGACCTGAATGTGCAGCATTAGAGCCCCACAAGGACCTTGAAAGCTAGACACTGTCATTATTCCCACTGTTCAGATGGGCCATGGGGGCTCAGAGAGGTGAAGCCACTTGGCCAAGGTCAGAGGGCAAGTGGAGGGCAGGGGCTGAGTCTCACATGGAAGTAAGCAGGTGGCCCCCTGCTTTGTCACTGAGGATCCAGGCTTCCTGTGGGTCCAGGAGGCCTCAGGCAGGCCTGGGAACTCACTTCATTGGCTGGGAAGACATTTCTGCCACCTCTTTCTCCAGGGCTGGACTGTGGCTCCTCCAAGCCCGAGAATACGGGTGGGTCCAGAACCTCCACATCGAGCCTCCGGTTCCTCTCACTGGAAAGACACACCCTTTGGTGAGGGGGAGGAAGCATTTTTGAGGTGAAATGTTGTATCCCAGCCAGGAATGGAAAATATTAAAAGCCCATTGGCGCCAACAAGGTTCGCGCCAGGGCCAGAAAGTACGGAAAAGAGGAGGGACGTCCCTGCGGTGGAGGGTGCAGTGGGGGTCAGCCAGGGGGCTGCCCACACCCTGTATCCCAGGCTGCCTCCATCTTCAGGGTTAGAGCAAGCTTCTGCCAGCCAGAGGAGGGTCCTTGGGTGATGACCCCAAGAGAAAAGCCCCTTAGTGTATGAGTTGGTTTACCCCACATTCCAGAGAAGGTGGTGGGCATAGGGATGTGTAACCACTGAGAGTGAAATATCTTACTGGGAGTGTGTGAAGCCAGGCCAGCCCAGTCCACACACAGATTCTGTACATTATGGGTGCTGGGATGCTGAGAGAAGGTCAGCCATGGCCCCTGTCTTCTAGGAGTTTCACCATAGAGATGGGGCAGGCAAAAAAACAGACGATGTCAGTAGAGTATGACAGACACTCTGCTGGAGGGGTATACAGGGACTGCGCAAGACAGAAAAGGGATAATTCGTTCAGCCCAAGACTAGGAGGAAGGGTTCCCAGAGTGGGTGGCACCTGGACTGAGTCTTGCTACAAACAGACATTTCAAGAACTTGCACAAAGCTGGTATTTGGGTACACGCTCTTGGGAGTTAACTCTGTATTTGGAAAAAGAGACACAGAGACACAAAACAAAAGCCCCCCATGGGGGCTTCCTTTCCCACTGCCCACATCACATCTGCAGCAAGGTACAAACGTACTTATAAGGTAGTGGATAATGTCTCAGAATTATTTTCCATCTACTCCTCTCCCACTGCCCGTCACAAACACACTGGGGTACAGGCACACCTGTAGTCATAAACAATTACACACATACATATATCACATATGTACAAAGTAGTGGAGAATGCACCAGAATTCTCAGTGAAAGAGCTGTTCTCATGAGTGAAATGCTTTAATAAGTACTGGGGTTGAAGATGAGGCCCCCGGTGGTTGGGGGTCTGCAGAGATGAGGCTTCAGAGCCTGGCAAAGCTGCTCCGCTCAAAAGAGGAAGAAGGGTCTAGAAAGAGGTGCAAGGAGCAGTGGTCGGAGAGGAAGAGGAGGGAGGAAGCCAGTGTCCCTTGGTCAAGTCTACCAACCCCACAAAAGCTCAGTGAATATGACTGCTTGTTGTGAGAACTAAAGGGCATGAGCTTCATACTGACGTTGTGGAATGGGATAGAAAACCTGAGCCTGGAGGCCAGGCGAGGTGGCTCACACCTGCAATCCCAGCACGTTGGGAGGCCGAGGCGGGCGAATCTCTTGAGGTTGGGAGTTTGAGACCAGCCTGACTAATACGGTGAAACCCCACTTCTACTAAAAATACAAAAAAATAACCAGGCATGGTGGCACATGCCTGCGGTCCCAGCCACTCAGGAGGCTGAGGCAGGAGAATCGCTTGAACCCAGAAGGCAGAGGTTGCAGTGAGCCGAGATCATGCC